TCACGTGCTGGACCCTCCCGGTGGCCCTCGACGAGTCGCTTGGGCCAAAAGCAGCTGCTCGTCGGATGGCAGACTTCAAAAAGGAACGCTATCTGCGTTTCTGCGGGGAGCTCGAATGAGGCTCAAAACAGAATCTAAACACAGATCTGCAACGACACAACTGGGTGCCCATCCAAGAATTGAAAAGAAATGAGCAGAAGACCTGCCGAGCCTCTCTGCCATCACAAAATGGACATCGTGCATAGCAGCGCAGCTTCTGAGTGCACCCAAGCCATTCCTACACTCGCTGACACTGATTTCAGCCTGGCCTGCAAGAAATAAATAGAGTGGTTTTGCGGCTGCACTGCGGTTGAATCTTAGCTTGTCCGGTCTGAGCCACAGACTGTGAAAGCACCCACATCCAACGAGTGAACATTCAGCGAACACCGGCACCGTCAAACCACGTCAAAGCGATCGAACACCCTTTCTTCGCTCAATCTCGCTCCAGCGGATCCTGAGGGAAGACATCGTTCACAGAAAAGGGCCCTGCAATTCTGTTCCTAATGGCTTATTGCTCCTAGTAGTACGGCCAAAAGCCCCTAGTAGCGTCCTTGCTCCTAGTAGCGATGCCAGGAGCCCCTAGTAGCTTCTTGTTCCTAAAATAGATCAAAGAGCTCTAAGTGCACGGCGTTGATGTTCCTTGCAGCGTTCGATGTTAGATGCTTCATGATGCTTCATGATGCTTCAGGCAAAAAGCAGCTCCCAAGAGCCATTTGTGTGAACCGGTTGTGCCAATCCGTGCCTCTGTCTCCTATGACGCTGTGTTTTGATGCGCTCCGCAACAGACATCTGGCACAAGACGAGTCATTGCGAAATGCAACGATGTTCAAGTGAAGTTCCCGGGCAAAACCAAGCAAGCCACAACATGCAAGGTAAAAATACATGACCTCTGCGTCTGCGGCATACGCATCCTTGCGCAGGTCTCGGAAGTACTTCCTTAGGAATGAAGGAAGACCGGCTGGGTTAGGTGGTTTTGCAAAGAGATTGACACATATTGAAGCGACGTTCCAGATTCGAACTTGTTTACGCCTCTCCACTCCAGTGTGAGACCAGCTTTTTCAGGCTCTGGCTGATCAGACTTCTCCCTCATCTTCGCTTCCAACTCCTAGGCTCGATGCATAGCAACCTGCTTAGCATTGTCGAGATTTTGGCTACGTATCTGAAGGTAATCTGGCATCCGCAGGTCGAGGGGGCTGTGCATGCAGTGCCTTTGGTTCCTGGTAAGAATCTGCCTGTTTTGTACCTGTTTTGGTACTTGGTATTTGCTCTTCTGGCGTGCGTCTGGAGTGATGGAGTCTGTTCGCGGTTTGTTGTGATCTCGGTGAGGCGATGGAGTTTGCAGTTCACGTGATGTTTCGGCTTGCGACGCGTATACACTTTCATTCTCACCTTCCTTCAGCCTTTTTCAGCTTGCTACATTTCATTCAAGCATCCTCGATCTGTTTCTCCCTCTCTTCCGCTGAAGCTATTCGATCGTCTTTCATCCTACAAGCAGAAATCAACAATCGGCATTGTTGAAACATGTTGAAACCCATTGTGCCAGCCAAATCAGCAGCCTTTCATGCTTTTTGGCATCAACCTTGGTGCGCTCTGTGATTTCGATGAAACATGAGGTCAACACGCCTTGCTTCCTAATGGCTCTGTGGATTTTTTTGTATACTCTTTCTATTTTCTTTGGTTCTCTTCGAATTGAGCTGTGAGGCTCTCATTTGCTGCACCCGTTGCTCTTTCTCTTCGTCCGTCATGCGCCTCGGTGTCAAACTGCAACAGGGCAAAATTGAGGATCTGGACATTCAAAAGAAACCAACCCATGTATACGGCGTGTGTTTGCTTTTATCTTTTATCTATACTGATTGGTCACCAAAAGTGTTTGTTTCGTTGAGCCCTTTCCTGTTGCATCCTGCGTACCTTCCCAAACCGCGGCTGGCGAGGGCTGCGTCTTTCTGCTGTTTCACGCGCGACTCCTCAGTTAACGTTTTCCGACAGTCCTAGACGTCTAAAGCCAAAGTGTCGTTTGACATGGCGTCTTTGATAGTAGCGATGCCAGGAGCCCGTAGTAGTGTCCTTGCTCCTAGTAGTACGGCCAGGAGCCCCGTTCGTAGCGTCTTTGCTCCCAGTTGCTTCCTTTTTTTGCTTCCTTCTTGCATTTCTCTGGGCCAAATGCATGCTCCAGCCTCTTGCTGACCACAATTTGGCTTGGTCCGAGAGCAGACAGGTCAGGCCTGTGTTGAGCACAAAAAGTGGCAAGAAATAACACAAGTACAGGCTAAATCGGCTATGGTACAGGTATAATAGGGTCTGTGAATGGTTCCTCGCTTGACATCCAAAGTGTGGAGACAGGTGGTGTGGGGCCAGCTTCGCAAACACATTTATCTTGAATGTACTGGAGCCATGGAAGGATTGAAAAAGGGCAGGACAGGTTTACAGGTCGAATTCGCAAATGTGCTTCGCAGGTCGTCCTTGTTGGTTGGTCCTTTGGGTGCAAGTGAGCGGCTCTGCTTCTCTTGCTTCTCTTTCTCTCTTGGCCTTGGAATTGACACAAAGCGAGAGTCTAAGTCTACAGCAATATTAAAAGCTCCTCAACGATGTGACCGATGTGAGAAACAGGAGGTTACACATTCGTGGTGACATGGATTATTAAGTCTCATAAGAAAGTGAATAACCAAGCCTGCCAGTCCTGATGCACAAATCAAAGCATGCCCGTGCAAGTTAGGCCAGGACTGGAACAGCAGTCTGAGCTTTTTCTGAGCTGCTGCTGCTGCTGGACTTTTTCTTCTTCTCGGAACCAAGCCGACTGAGACTCAACAAGCCGAAGAAACGAGAATGATGTGTTTTGGGAAGTTTTTGTGTTGTTTGGACAATTCCAAAGTAAAGTGCCTCAACAAAACACAATACACATGGAATATGTTCCCCAAAGTGACACTGCGTGCAAGACTTGGGCCAAGTTTGGGCTTGGGTTGTGTCGTCGCCATGTGGACAACACCACGGCCAAAGTAAACTTGAACGTCACCAGCGCCTTGGAAGCCTTCTTGAGAGCCTTGATCAGGTGAAGTCATGTGCCAGGATCACAGCAAGGAAGGAGTTTGTTGTTTGCTGCGGCAAGGAGTCCAAAAGGAAATATGAAGTTTGCAACCGCCTTACAATATCGTAAACAGCACCTGGTAACAATGTACTTCGAGGAACATGACCTCACCACATGACAGGAAGCCGGTTGGCATTACAGTCTGGTAGGGGCCCAGGGTGGAAAGACCTAAAGCTTCATGCTGCGGTCTTCAACTTGTGACAAAGATCTGCCAATGTTACTAGTAGTAAGGCACTTGTTTCTAGTAGCTTCTTGTTACTACTAGTAAGGCACTTGTTACTAGTAGCGATGCACTTGTTCCTAGTAGCTTCTGCAAGGCTTCTATCCAAGCCTTCTCTTCCTTCTTTGCAGCTTTCTTCTCTTTCTTCGCGGCTTTCCTAAGGACTCGACGTGAACAAGGTGGACAATACAAGTCTGCAAGAAAGTCTGCCGAGCTTCTTAGCTGCCTTCTCTTGCTTTTTCTTGATCTTCGCCATGATGAGCGGGTTTGCCATCCTAGGTGGTTCACGTCCTTCGCTTGTACACTGTCTGGAGAATGCACTTGATGTCTCGGGCCCAAACATACTGTCTCTTGCGGCTTGTTCTTGACGCCGGATCTGAAAAAGTGGATCTTCTCGCAGCTTTCGAACCATATCCTAGCTTTTGAGACTTGTTCTGACAAAGCTGGTCTGATCAAGTCTTGTCTCCATTCTCCTCGGTGGTCTTTGTCGCACTAGTCAAGAACAGCGAGCCAGCTGTGCTGCTCCTGCATTCGCAGGACATCAAAAGCATCTCTTTCTTTTCTTTCTTATCCTTCTGTCAATCTTGTGTTTTCCATGTTTCCTCTCTTGAGACCTTCCACTTCTGTCAATGAAGAGGCTATAATGCACTTTATCACAGAAGTCTTGGTTTGTGTGTGTGGTCTTTGCTTTGGGCCAAGCGTCTGCAGGTTCTTAACATCTTCAATGTCTTTGTCCTGGGGGTCCAAAGGTTTTACAGGGATATCCTCGAAAAGTATCAAAGCTGAAACAAGCTGAGAGCCTTCTGGGCTGAGATTGGCATATTCATTAACTCGTCGTCATTCGGCTTTACAGAGGCAGCGCTTTGCTCATACATCCAATCCAGCCTTGAAAAAACGATCTTCACAAAAGAAGCCCACTGAGCTCGTGCCAAATGAAACACAAACGAACTTAAGAAAAAGTTTCCAACACCTAGCAGCCCTAACTATCTAGGAACCGTTTCGATGATGCAAGGGGTTCTTTAAAGCAGCATCTGGAAGCTTCCTGTCGCCTCCAACCTAAGAGCAGTTTTTTCACTCGGCCTTTCTGGCGCTTGTGGCGCTTGTCTGATGTTCGCCATGGTTGGAACACACGGCGAGCAAAGCGAGTCAGGAAGTACGACGGGAGGACACGAAGAGAACAACACAGTTGCCCAATGGAACCAAATGCTGCCAGCTGAGCCAGGAAAGTCGATTTTGTTTTGCAGAATGCTGTTCATCTAAACCATGCTGGCTTCTTGGCTTGGCCCCAGTATTTTTGCTGCTTTTCGGGGTTTTAGGGTATAAATATGTCAACCCACTATATAGTGCTCTTCGGCGGCATCTGTGGTGAACACTCACTGTTGTGAGTTGTGACCCGATACTTTTGCATCGTCATTTGTCTTTTCTCAAAGCCAGCGAAAGCAACTTTCAACAGTGTCGCATGACTGCAATCCTGACATGTCATTCACACTTTAAAAGAAAATTGCACAGCCTGGTTTCAAGAGCCTCAGCCACGATTTTTTGTTTGCCAGCGAAAGTATGGAGGAGCATCTAAGCAATCATCCAGGCAGGAGCGCACTGTCGAAAACTCGATGAGAGGCGCTGAGGAACGACAAACAATCACATGCAATCCATGGCGTCTCAGTCTTTCTTCCCGACGACCTGGCAGCCGCATGCAGTGAGTGCATCCTATAAGAAAGGAAGAGAGGGTTCCGTACTTGTGTGGTCAGCTGCTCATCTCACTAGGGACAAGAGGAATGAGCACCACCAGGCCAAGGAGTTCTATTCTATCGAGTTCTAAGACACCCATTGAACACATCGCCAACAAAACTGCTTCAGTGGCGGCCTTTGTAAAAGAAACGTACTTGCTTGCGTTGGAGGCCAGCGTCACACCCAGGTTCGCGATCTTCCTTGTCACTTGTGCCAAGCGTAACCAAATCTGGCTCAAGAAAGAGCATGTGAAGGCCGTTCTGCTCAGCAAACATCGTCCACTCGCTTGAAAGAAAGCTTTGGAGTGTGAATAGACCATTAAAAATCACTTTCTGAGGTTCAAACTGGGGAGAGCGGCCAACAATGCGGTTCTCTGCGCGGTAGTCCTCTCAGGACTTTCTTAGGAAAGCTTCAGTCTGCTTTGACAGCAAAGCAATTTCGTGGCTGGACAAAACTGTCCCAGCAGCACATACTCTGCCCTTTCTCAGCAACTACAAACGTGCTTCTTGTCAAGCGTAGACAGTGTATGACAGTGTCAAGATTTGTCAAGCGTCCACAGTACAGTCAGGACAACCGATTAGCCAGGGATCAATGATGTGTTAACTTAATTACCTCATATTGAGAACTGAGGTCCAAGTGGATTCCTCCTCCTCCTTCACGCGTGTTGGGTAGATGCGAGGGAAGTATGGTCCTGACACAAAGGCAAGCAGCTTTCTATTCTGATGATGCTCTTCCGCCTTCTCTGTTCATTCCCAATGCAGGTCGCACATTAACAAAGGCCCTAAAGTACAAGTATGCACCAGCGCAAGAATTCGTTCAAAACTGCTTACGAAATTCCCAAAAGGCCATAGTAACGAAAACCGCCGAAGAAACATTCCAACTGGCGCACCACCCAATGGTTCACCGTTGAGCTGATTGTGTCCTGCATGGAAGACTGAAACCATGTGTCGCTCAGTGCAATTCGCAAACAGAATTTCACATATTGTCTTTCTTTTCTAAAGTTGGGATTGTGGGCGCTTCACCTGCCAGGTCGCTGATTCCACTTGCACCACCCTTGTTGATGTATGTGGCTCCAGCCTGGCAAGACAGAAATGATCGCAAGTTACTCTGAAATCATTGATCATTGAAAGGATTCTGAATTTTAAAAAAAACATTTTTGCACTGTACACCCAAAAATTCCGCAATATCTCCTTGGCCATGGTGCCACCAATTGCGCGACGCTGTGTGCCATCCTTCCATTTGCGTCACAGTATGGCAAACTGTTGGTGTCGACATATTCGAGATCTAATCAAACCGAAATTGACGGACATGACTGGTCATTGGTGCCTCCCACTTCTGGCCAGGTGGTGCGACAATGCGATGGACTGGCACAAACAGAGATGATCAGAGCCGATGACACCCTCTTTGCCATAGAAGCTTCATCACAGGAAGAGTATGAGTGACTTCAAGTGCAAGAATCCATGCGAATATGAACATATGTCAATACTGTGCACCATTATTCGTTGTTAGCAAGAAACCTTTGGACAAATTCACAACAAGTAGTGTCTAAATCGGCAGGTGCACTAGTGCGGGCATCCCAAATAATCAAGTCTCCGGGCTCTGGCGTGTACCTGCAAAGGCAAAGTAGGACAACGCCGTTGTGAGCAGTTGTGAGGACTCCTTCGACTCTAGGTCATGATCCAGTCCCTTCAACTGCTTTGACACAGAAACGACCTCTTATGGACCTTCGACTTGTCTGCCAATCCCTCGTCTTTGCACCTGGTCTTCCTTGGGAAAGTGTTCAGGTCGCCGTCCTGGGGGGAGGCCATCGCTAAGATTGTTCACGCTCGTGTCAGGGGTTGTCGCTTCCTCCTAGCCTATTCCTAAAGGTCGATGTCACGACGCCCCTTCTAGTAAGGCACTTGTTTCTAATAGCAAACATTGTTTCTAGTAAGGCACCTGTTACTACTAGCGTGGCACCTGTTACTAATAGCACTCAGTTTCTTCTCGACTATTCTCTTCGTATTTCTTCAAATAGGACTATGACGAAGAGTGGGTGGTCGCATTTGCAATGGGAAGACCATGAAAGACCCCTCCTCCAGACTCACAAAAACCTGGCCGAAGAGGCTTAAGAGAAACGAACATGATGATTGATTGATGTGGATTCAGCGATCTATTTCACAAAATGTTCTTGCTAGCAAAGGATGTGCATTTAAGACCAAAACTTGAGATTGGCTATTGAAGAGGTGACAAACTAAAGAACAAGTGGAGTTTTCTGCAAACATAAGCCGGCATGACTGCATCACTGCTCACGGACCTATGCAGGTAGCTTCTAGAGGCTTTGAAAGAAAACACAAACGCCGCGATGTGTCAACGATTGAAACGTGCATTTGGCTTAAGCTACCCCGCTGATTTCGGTGAGAGCCTAGCAGGTACTCAGGAGCTCCAATGCCATCCTGCAAGGTGAGCCGTTTGCACAAGCGGCGGTCAGGTAAGCCAGCTTGAAATGGCATACATCAGTATGTATCAAGAGCTTCACACGTGCACCAGTAGTAGGCAGCAGGAGTGTGCTTTCAGCTCATGTACCAAAGGAACTGCAACTTATGTCAAATCAACTGCTGAACTTGAACTTCGTACTCCATGCGACTATGCTCACCTTGGGTCCTCAACTTGCCGAACAAAACTGCAGTCTTGCGTCGGCCCTGCCTGGCCGCAAGGATCCATTGCGACCCACCTGACATTACGACAGCTCTCAGTTCAGTTGGAGAACCGCCGAACTATTCGTCAAAAAGATCCCTCGCATGCCCATTGATTCCGGCATGTTAGCAAAACAAAACAATCCCCACGCTGCCTTTCAGGGAACTTGGTTTATTGCCAGGCGGAGTGTCACGGGGGCTTTAACTGATCTGTATGTTCCCTCTCTTGAGCCCATTCATGCCCATGCCAATTCTAGTGAACATAACATGTGTTCAGATCAGGGAGACGAAAACCAAAACTCCGATCAGATCATGTTTGCTTCTTGTCACAGTCGGATCAACCTCTACATCCCGTGTTCTCCTCTTCCCGTTGCAAGGGTCCCAGACCAACGGATTGCGTCTTTAAAGTCGATGGGCCCATTCTGGTTGTCCTATCAGGCGATGAGCCCCTAGTAGCGTCCTTGCTCCTAGTAGTACGGCCAGGAGCCCCTAGTAGCGTCCTTGCTCCTAGTAGCGATGCCAGGAGCCCCTAGTAGCTTCTTGTTCCTAGTAGGATTTTAGCCGATTGAAACACAAAGCAAGATTCTGTGACTTTCTCTGAACTCGAAACAGAACATCTTGTTGCCCCCCTCCCCTCTGAGTATGTGCAACTCCGTCTCTCCCTCTCCGTATATTTATACCTTATAATCTAATTGATTCTCTAACATGGATTGGATCCTCTCTGTATTGTGCTTCTCTGCTCCTGATGCCAACCAAAGCCACGATTGGGGTTCACCAAGAGCATGTCCTTGGCTCCATGAGATGGAATACCCACCACTATATACTGTCAAAGCCCAATTTAGAATCCACACTTGTCTGTACATTTTTGAGAAAATAGGAGAAAGAACGGAACGGGGGAAACGCCAGCAAAAAGGCACACAGGGGAGTCCTATGCCAAACAACAGTATTCCCTCAAATTGCGAGTCGTACTCAGAGGCCCCGGCAGTGGAGCAGCGAACTTCCTCAGTCTTCCCCAACCTCAATGAACGATTGTGGCTTTGTCCCGCCATCATGTCCAGTTCTTTCGTTCCACGATAGTCCTCATCTTTGGAATTTGCTATTGCTATTCTCCTTCATTTCACATTTCATCGTATTCTCGTCTTTCTATTGCTGCTGTGCAACAGAAAGAGGTTAGCTTCGGGGAAGGGATTAGCTCAAAAGGAGACCAACCTGGTTGCGCTGAGAAAAGCGTCCTGTTCGTCGGCTGACACGGTTCGCACACAGAACTGTTCGCCCCTCTGGATCGTCAGACTCACCAAGCCACAGAATCCAATTTTGCCTATCCTAGATGGGGTGAGAAGGCACGTTCCATAACTAAGGCATCGTCCACTAGAACAAAAAGCAAAAGGAATGATTGGCTGCGACCAATTGACACTCTGCCTATAAGCCAAATCCCTCTCCCTCATCTCCCTCCTATCTGTCTCTCTTGGGCTGCAAACTGCGATACCACGTGCCCCAGCGGTGAGTAGTACTGGCAGCTTGAAAGAGAAAGGCTCTTGCTGCATCAGAGAAGACATATTGTGTATCAGAAATAGCAAATAAAGATGCCACAAGAATCCACAATGGAAACTGTCCCAACAAACCAAAACCGAAAAACCGATGCCAAGGCGCAAGGAAATCACGGAAACCATTGTTTGTCATCCACATGTTACGCCTCAGGAAGAAACAACGCGACGAAGCTGCAAGGAGGCGCAAGCCGTTGGTATTCTTTTGCCTTAAGCGACGCTCAGGGCTGGACTGAATGTAGTCATACATACCACTCATCCGGCCAACCAAAGACCTGAGACACGAGTATAACATCGTGATGCAAAAGAAAGAAACAAGGAGAAACAGGAGGAACATGGAAAAAAATGCGGAAAACCGGTTATATATGGTTATATTGTTAAGAAAGAAATCCAAATGAATACACCAAAAGTCGCAGGAGTCACAGTACTCGGAAGCCAACCAAAGGTGGGGCTTTTCGATTTGGTCTTCAGTAACCTTCTGCAGGTACTCAACCCATTCCTGAGCAACAGAACTTTCCAAATGTCATTCTCATTCTCAAAGATTGGCGAATTTGTGACGTTTGCCTTCATGGCGCCCTTGATCATGATGACTCCATCTTCCTTGGAGAAAAGGTATCGAGTCCAGCTCAGAACGTGAATTTTCACACACTGCAATCATCCCACCTGGAATTGCTCAATCTGCTCCTCGGTCACCTTCAGCTGCTGTGCTGCCTAGCCCAAAGCCGTGTGCAGATTGTGCGACTTCATCGATGACCTCGTGCGATCTCCTTGCAACCCAGCGCAGCCCTGCCCCTGCAGGCCGAGCCCGCCTGTCCAGCCGTGACCCCTGCTGGCAAGGTCACACCAGGGTCCTAGCACAGTATCCAGCTTTGCACTCCAAGCTTCAAGCTCGACATCGCTCCAAGGAAAACCAAGTCCAAGCTCCATTCTCTTTTGGGAATCTGACTTGAATCCTCGAATCCTCCCCGTCAGGAGGTCTACGAGACTTGTGCAGCTTAGTGCATCAAAGTCTTTTGGGCCTTTGTGAGAAATGGAGATGTTGAAGAGTCATTTTACAAAAAGAAGCGTCCTTCTTTCAACAAAACGTCTAAAACGGGTCCTGACGTCTAAAACAAGACCAAAAGACTACCGACAAAAAAACGAAGCGGCCATGCGAGGCCCACTTGGTGGCCCTTAGGGCTGTCGCCAAGTGCGGCTCATTGGCTCATCGACTCGTCATCGTCCGGACACTCTTTCACTGGGTGTGGACAGGGCCGAGAGATTCTGGGCACTGAGAGACGCAGAGGCTGAAGAGCTTGGACCACCTGGGCGGAACCGACTTCCGCCTCCAATTCATCGTGTTATACCTTCAATTGGTCTATTTTGGCTACACCACGCGCTTATGTTCAAACGCATATGAATTCAGCAAGGATTCGAAGCTCTTCCAAGTCCTCTTCCAATTTCTCCTCCAGATTCATATGTTGGAAGTTCCAACATGTTCTAAGCATCTTTACTGTGACATCAGTCCGAAAAATATTATTTCTGTTGCAAACTATCCGAACAATGTGAAACCGCTGTAGAATGACCGTCTCAAATGACTTTCGCTCCCTTGCCATTTGTCCACAACCAAAATGTGTGTTCTCGTGCAATCTGTATATACTGTATTGGGGTGGACGCTACTAGGGTGGAAGCCATCGCTACTAGGGTGGAGGCCATCGCTACTGGGGATGGAGGCCGCTACTGGGGATGGAGGCCATCGCTAATAGGGTGGAGGCAAATATTATATTATACTATACTGTATTCTCGATGTTTTGAACTTTGTTCTTTGTCGATCTTCACCTTCGTCGCGATCAGGACCGCATGTTGCCGCTGGACCGTGGCAATTTTCTGCGTCAGGAGGTCGACTTGCTGCTCCAACGAGCTCACCCGCTCTTTCAAAAAGCTGTTCTCAAGCCTGTCAATTTGGAGCTGGGACATGGGAGCTTGCCGCTAACGGCATGAACACAATAACTCAGTGGGTAGAGTTTGATGCTTCAATTCAAGCCTTCCCATTTTGCAACTCGAGGGCTTTGGACGCATGGCATGAAGCTCAAGGCAAAAGGCACTTCTACTCTCGCGCGCCTTGTGGGTTGGGTTGGTGCTGCCTGAAGGTGCTCCCGTTGCTCAATGCGCTCAATCATGCTCAATCCATTCAACAAGTTATGTAGTTTTCTATAAATTCTTCTTACCTTGGCGTTGGTGGTCGCTCGCCTGCACTTCGCTTGGCTTTCGATCCAGCGGCACTGAGAAGACCGAGTTCAGCTTGTGTTCGAACACAGCCAGCATACAGGCTTGAGTCTCTCGTCCAAAGGCCTGCAAACCTTGGTGTGGACGAATCACAGAACAAAACTAAGCTGAATGCTTCTACATATAAAGGCTGAATATGCATCTATATGCTTCTATATGCTTCTTTGTTGCTGCTTGCTTCTTTCGCTTCTTTCAGAATCCTGGCATTCTTTCAGAATCCCTGAAGCTTGGAGATCCCAGCGAAATCTGGGAGCCAACCGAAGGATTCAAATGAGGATTCTGCATGGACTTTTGGTGAAAACAAGGTGTTCAAACTAATTGCCCTGGATAAAACAAGGCGTGCCACAGATTCTCCTGCTGACAACCTGGGCATGCTCATCAGAAAAATGGCGAAGTCGTTGTCTTTGCCCGGCAATGTCTTGTGTGAAGGACCGATTCCGCTTTGCGATCTTGTCGAACAGCGCCTCAAAGTTAATCTAAGTTACTATATAGTAGCGTTCTTGCTCCTAGTAGTAAGGCCAGGAGCCTCTCCTTGCTCCTAGTAGCGATGCCCGTTGCTCCTAGTAGCTTCTTGCCACTAGTCTAAATGCCAGGAGCTATTTTAAGAAAACAAGGAAAGGCATCAAACCAGCATAGGCCCTAGGCATAGGCACAAATTGTTCATGAACGCTTTTGGCAGTTCTGCTTGCAAATGTTTGGAACAGTTCGGAAACATGTTGGTCTTGGTTATCTTTTCATAAAAGACTGAGTTCGTCGCCTTCTTTTCCGATTTCTGAATTCTGAGTTCTGCCAAATCACTGCCCAGCAGTCCTGGGACAAAACCCCACACCTAGTGGACTACTCCCAGCGTTCTCAATCTCCGAAACGACATCGAAAGCAATGTGAAGCAGCAAGCATTGCATGCCAAATTGACCTACCTTGGGTTCCGGAGTGTTTGGCATAAGGTTCCTTGATTTTGGCATCTGCAGAACAGAGATATGGTATCTAAAATAGATCGAGCCAACTCTCTGTGAGGAGTGAAAAGCGCTGCCATGTTGATCAACTAAATAATCCATATAGATCTCTGGCAATACACCCCCCGCTCGTGTCGTAGACATCTCACATTGTCTCACCATGTCTGTCCTTTGGAGTGCTGTAGCAGCATGGCTTTTGAAGTCTCCAGCTCGAACTCGATCTTTTCCAACAAGTGTCCCTTTTGTACCTCCAAGGAGCGACGGCGTGTATGTTTGTATGCTCGCGGCAGTCAAAAAATGTAGTAAGGCACTTGTTTCTACTAGCGTCCTTGTTACTACTAGTAAGGCACTTGTTACTAGAAGCGATGCACTTGTTCCTAGTAGCTTCTTGTTAACACAAGCAAATGTAGGCAACAAAGCTCACTAAACGCGTTTCCGCCAGCGATGTGTTGAGTCGTGTCGAGAGCATGTACCCGAGTGCTTAACAGGTTGCAAAATGGTCTGGTCGTAGCATGAGCAATTCAGAGAGCATCTCCAGGATTCGCATCGCCGACCTAGGAGAAGCGGCAACTGTGTTGGTGCGTCGTCATGGTGCGTCAGCGCACCAATCATTCACATTCACGTTGATGTCCAACACACGGTGTCACTCACGGTGTCTTTCCTTTGAAGAAAGAAAACAATAGACACAAAACACGTGATTGAACTTTCTCTCTGATGCTGAGAGGCTCCTTTTGCACTTTGCCCACCTCCGCAATAGCTTGGGCTCGGGAGATCTGCTCACCAGTCAGAGTATCTTTGAAGCCAGCTGTCGAGCTCCATTTATTCACTTTCGATCTGCTGTTTCCTTGGTGCAAATTGAATCCTGCCGAAATAGTTGGATAGTTTTGCTATTCCTTGAATGACAAGCATCCCCATGCCATGGTTGTGGAGACAAAGGTAGCTTTGGGCTTAGCTTTTGGTTTGCTCACAGGACTTGGAGCAGGCTGCCTGAAACAAATAGCCTGTGCTTCAATGTGCTTCACAATTCGTCACGCTGCAAGTTCAAAAGCTCCACCTGGGCGCTATGGTCTCCTTTGCGGGGGCTTCGTTGCTCTCCATAATGCTGCTTGCCAGCTCATCAGACAGTGTGCAAAGATTCCTGCTTTCCTGAAGACCTGCACACATCCGAGATCTCTGTGCATACTGCTCTGCTTGGACTCTAATCTAGCCGTCTAATGGCCCACTAGCAAATCAGTTCTTATGTAAGATCAAGTCCTACAGCCTGCGGTCTCGTCTGCTTCCAGGTCATCGGCCATGTGCTCCACATCTGCTGTAATGAACCCAGTATGGCAAATAAGGCCCAAATGAGTTCAATCAGCTTTTTTGAGTCGCTAGCTAGTTAGGGATGACATCTCCCGTGATCAGGCTGTGCTGTGCGGTTCATGGCTCAACGGAAATGCATTCAGAGCTGCTCTCTGTGCTTGGCGGGTGCTTCAAAGCAATATGTATTGAGCCACCAGGCTCACAACAAACAAACAAGCGTGGGATAGAAATTCCGTTGCTAACTTGACCCGGCAGGCAAAGCATACAAATGAAGCATGGAACAAAGCAAATGGCAGCAAAACGCTAGGCTACAAAAAACGTCCTGGACACCAATGCTGAGCCTTGAAAGGTTGAGTGCCTGCAGCTCTGAATGAATCTCAGACCATTCGTGAGAATTCCGAATCTACGTGCAAACTTCCTAAGCCACGGGCTCGTCCAGCAATGGATTGGTCCTGGCAGTAACCAAATCGAAAAGATCCCAATGATATTTAATCTATACATATTCCATTCTCTCTAGGTTGGAGGTCATCGCTCTTCGGTTGGAAGCCATCGCTATTAGGTTGATTCCCTTTAGAGATCCAATTTGGATTTCTCTGACAACCAAGCGCTCCGGGAAGGAAAGGCGGCGGACACCATCGATGGCCATAGCCATTCCAGCAACTGAGACCAATAGGAAGTCAAGAATCCAAGACAGTTGTTTTACAAGATTGTAAAACATTATTTTGACAAAGAAAAACATTGCAACAATTGTGAAAGAAAGTCTGGCATGATACCAGGAGCTTATCACATCTGTCTTCGAAGCATAGCATCAAACAACCACTGGTTCACTCAGTGCTGCACAAGTCAGGATCGTATCATTTGTGCTTGCGATTTCCTCCACCCTGCCAGCATGGGATCGTGCACATTCGTCACCTCCTTCTTGCACCATCGAAAACAAACAAATTCTGGGCAAAACTGACAGTTGATCAGCAAACAAAACAGAAAAAGTCTGTGTACAGTGTAGAAAAGTACTGTAGTAGTACCATTTAAAGAAAAAGGACACCGCGGAAATTTCGCTGCGCCAAGGTGCCCTTGGATGAAGCTGAAGGGTTGCTGGTCATCCGCAAAGCCAACTGCGCGACCCGTCACCAGGTATTGCGTTGCCATGCCTGAAGCAAAACAAATATAGGAAAAGTCACAAAGAATTTGGGGAAGAATGTGACAGTGATGTGTATTAAGTTACTTGTGCGACTATAAACGGATATAAAAGGGAAAGGTATTGAACACAAAAAGTCGAGATGGAGGGAAAGTGTATGAATAGCGATTTGGTAGTGACGTCCAAGACCAGGCTGCAAAGCGATGCCCAATTAGGAAACGATAAGAAACGGGTTCCATGGACCCCTTGCGCGACAGAGCTACAACGGAATAGATGAATGATGAATGGAGAACAAATCTAGTGCCGGAAATGGGCAGGTGAACTCAAACAGCGAAGAATCTGCCTAAAGTCATTTAGATTCTACCTGATCTCTGCCATTTGAGCGGTGGCCTTTGTTGTCTTATGTGTGTTACTTATGCCAAAGGACGTGAACTTCTCAGCTCCTCCAAATGACATTTAGGGAAGCACACGAGTGATCCCAAACCCTGCAAGTGAAGCATGACCTATCTCGTTTTGGGGCACTTCTACGTTGTGCAAAAGCAAAACAATTGGGTGATTCCTACTTTTGTGCCATGCAAGCGCAAACAGGTGTCTCGCTTGAGAGGCACAAAGCCGCAATCAGCAAGCGAACGACCTGTGTCTTAACCCAGCTCCGGAGTTGGTCGCCTGCGAAGGCTAGCATGGCCAGGCGGCCATTTTGCAACTCCTGAACATCTGAAACGTTCAGCTTCTGCAATAGCTTTCCGCTCAAACGCCTTATCACCCGGACTTCAACCAGGTATGTGCCCTTAATCTTCCAGGGGGCTATGTGCCCGCCTTCATGTTCACTCAACCCCATGAGACTTCAAGCTTATCCTCCACTTGCTCTTTACAGGACATGACACGTCAATTTACAAGCCTACTTCCGCCACTGCCTACTCTCAAATTGTTGATCTCTCGAATATGTCTTCGATTCAAATTTGCTAGTCGAATCTCCTTGTATTGCTTCTCAGCGAGCTCCTCGAGTGTCATGTCCCAGGTCATCTGAAGCGGCACTGCATGGCGCTGCATGACGCTACTCTAGATCGAATGAGACAGTTGGTTGGATCCGAGACAATGTCAATATTGTCTCTCTCAGTGATGTCCTGGGAATAATAGAGGGGTCGGTTTGGTCCTGTTGTATACTTGGAGGTACCCTTTCTATTAATCCAATCAATTAATCGTAATTAAAGGCCATCTATGGTCTCTCTATTCCAAAAAGCATATATTAGCAGAATCGGTTGGACTATCCATTACACATATTCTCTCAAGATCAATTTGGAGTCCGGGAGGTTAGAGCACTGCCGATCGCTCTGCCGATCGCTCTGAGTCTCCCACCTTCCAGCCACCTGGCATGGGTCCAGCACCAAGGCCAAGGTCTCCGGCAATGAGATCCTGCGCTCCAGTCTCTCGAAAACGGAACTGAACACGCTTGGACTATTAGACTATGTTGGACTGTAGTGCAAAATTCAACACATCCCTTTTGGGCTGCGTTGGGCAAGCAGCTCCAGTACATCTAGATTCTAGATCTCAAAGGTGCAACGTGGGTGCACATGAGAAATCTGAAGCATCCTGGATCCTGCTTCACTGCCGCGACAAAAAGATACGAAGGTGAGTTCAAAAAACATCGAGGCCAGCACTCAGGTCATCTCCTCCTTGACTGACCATTGGCTCTGCACTTCAGTCTCAAACCCACTCCTTCGCCTCCTTGAAGCACTCCATAATCTCCGCTTCAGGTGAGCCTTCTTTGGGTTCGTGGGCATAGAGCCATTGTGCATTCTCTGGAAGGGACATCAAAATGCTCTCGATGCGGCCAACTCCGCTGCCCAGCATCTTCAAGCCAAAAACTGTGCCGCGGTCATAGACCAAATTGAACTCCACATATCGTCCACGGCGAAGCAATTGCCACTGCTTCTGATCCTCTGTGAACTCTTTGTCTCGATTCTTCTCGAGAATGGGAACATATGCTTTCGGAACTGCATCCAAAGCTTCTTCCGCAAACTTCAAGTGGGTCTCAGGATCCTCTGTGTTGAAGTCATCAAAAAAGATACCTCCCAAGCCACGTGTCTCCCCACGGTGCTTGATCAGGAAGTACTCATCTGCCCACTTCTTGAACTTTGGGTACCATTCTGGAGAGTACTTGTCGCAAACATCCTTGTAGGTCCCATGGAAATGCTTCATGTCGTCTCGATCAAGATATGAGGGGGTGATGTCGGTCCCACCTCCAAACCACCATGCTCCAGTCTCCGTCTCAAAGTACCGGTAGTTGAAGTGCATGGTAGGGCAAAATGGATTCTTCGGGTGCATCACTGAAGAAAGGCCACAAGCGAAGAAAGGCACCTTCTGACCAGGTTCAAGCTTTCCACCTGCACGGTCTGCACCTCTCTCAGTGGCAGCTTGCAAAGCTTCTTGGGGCATTTGCCCATAAACCACGCTCAAATTCACTCCGGCCTTCTCAAAAATGTTGCCATTGGTCAACACACGGGCAATACCGCCTCCACCGGATTCTCGTGTGTAAGGTTCCTTGCAAAACTTGGCACCTCCATCGCAATCCTCGATAGCTTTGCAAATGTTCTCTTGAGCTTCCGCCACCACAGCCTCAAAGCGTCGTCGCATGGACTCCGGTGCATCTGAATCCTTGCACATTGAAGTGTACCTCATCACGGTGTGTTGCGTGCGGCTGCGACTGCGCTGGCGGGCTTGGCGCATGGAGCACCTCCTCCCAAAATGAAGAGCTGCAAGACTCATGGGCAAAGTCAGGCGAACATCGATGCCACTCGACAACTGAGGTCTTCCGGCCTTTGGCACCCAATGACATGGGACTGTCACCCTTGCCAATGCGGGCACGTCCATTGTTGAGGCGGGCTTGCGGCAAACTCAATCACTATAGCTATGAGCCTACAATGCCTTGACGAAGAGCTGCAACATGAGCACAAGAACTCTCAACTCTTGACGGAACCACGTATCGACCCGATGTTGTCCAGCTGAGTCATGTGTACCCATTCCAAAGAGACAGTACAAAAAAGAATCAAAGGCAGGAAAAGGACAAAATATGACTTGAAGGTCTCAAAGAGTCTGAATGTGCAAAGCCAAGTACAGTCTGAACGCAGTCCAGTCCTGGTTGACGAAGAGCCGGTAGCCACGGAAGGCCTTTGTTTCACGGCTTGTATGGGCAGAAGTTTCTCCTAGTAGCGTCCTTGCTCCGGAAGAAGAGAAGACCAGCAACCCTAGTAGCGTCCTTGCTCCTAGTAGCGATGCCCTTTGCTACTAGTAGCGTTCTTGTTCCAAGTTTCACCATGTTTCACCCCTATCCCTGCCTCGAGAAGAGCCATCATCTGAACCAACTCCCAAGTTGAGGAAGAAATTGCCTCTTCCTTGGGCATCACACCTGGAGACGGGTAAAACGTCGCGCCCCGTCCCGTTCCTTGACATTTCGCATACAGATCTTGGAAACAAGCAGAGCTACGTGCAATTCTCGCACTTCCGGAGCCTGGGAAGGAGGAGTCAACGATCACCTGTCAACACTCGGCACAACCGGAGACGGCGAGAGGGGCCGAGATGGAAGTCATTGCGCGTCAACGCTCCCCTTGTGTGAGAGGCATATCCATTCCTTTGTAGTGACTGTTGACCTCTGTTGTTGGAAGCTTTTCAATAGATTTAGATCAGCTTGGAAAGAATGATGAAATTACTTCACAGTATTTCACAGTGGTTTCAGAGCAGATGGCGTGGTTTATATGAACCCCATATAAAGGTCTACTCTGAAGCCACTGTATAATGTCCTCCATTGAACTGCTTCCATCCCTTCCATCCTCAGTGCCTTGAAGACTGCAAGCATGCAGACTCGGCCGTGCATAAGCTCAGCCTGGCTTCGTGGCTTCGCATCGATTTCACGAAACCGGTTTGGGAGGAGCTTATTACTAGTAGCATAATGTAGCATACTAGTAGCTATTTGCTCCTAGTAATGCCCTTTGTTACTAGTAGCGATGCCCTTATTACTAGTAGCTTCTTGTTACTAGAGAAGTTTTCAAAAACATCTCTCAACAAACTTCTCTCTTCTGCAACGAAACGAAGCTGTCTCCTCACGATACCACCGCATGGCATCGAACTCAATCCCAAAGTTCTCGAGCACCTAGAAAGAGAGAGAGAGAGAGAGATAGTTGATCGACCTTCGTCTTTGCAAAGTCTTTTTTGACCGACCTCTGCTTAATTACAATATATAAACAGGCGGCTACTTAAGCCTACTGGAGGCAGGATAGCTCACGCTCGCATTGTTCATTTGGTTCCAGGTCTTTGATCAACATGTCAAGTTTGCTCGCTTAAAGCTATCCGAGTCAAAAGTCAAAAACAAAACAAACAATGCCTCGTTGATGTACTCATCGGCTCCAAACCTTACATGTTGCGGACAGCTATAGCTTGAGCTGTTTTCAAACCTTGCTTGCTCGAACCTTCTCAGTAAACAAAGGCTTTCCAAAATAGACAAACACAAGTAACATCCTGCCTGAGTCTGAGTAGAGAATACCTTTTACATAATTACATCCTTTGCTTAGGTAGAGAGACTGTGCACTTGAGCAGGTTTAGCTAACATCACTTAGCTCACTTTCAAACAGCAAAAAAAGCGGACACTTCAAGCGCCCTACCCCAAAGGGTCAAAGCCCAAATCTCCCACCATTTTCGGATCAGTGGGCACGTTCCTTCCAGGTCAAAGCTAAACAGGCGTGCCAATGTCCGCTTCCTTCCGCTCTGTAGACGATCGATGAATAAACAGCTTTAAGAGTTCAAGAGAGTTCCAAGAGAAAAGGAAGCTAAGGCTGTTGGTAATAGCCTTAGCAGCAACTGCGATCGGGACTTCCGTGCAAATTGCGAGGTCTTGTTCAAGATTCAAGACCTTGGACTGCCTCGCTTCTCTTTTGCTACCGAGAGGTATATGAATTCATGAATGACGTCTACCTGTTTTCTGAATCCTGAGATGAGCTGGAACGGGCATCCAAGGCAGAGCCGTGGACATTATTACCTCAACGCTCCGGAAAAGCTATGTGAGAAAACAAGAAACCAAACAAAAAAGCCTTTTTAAAGGCAAAGTGTGTCTTCTCGGCTTTGCAGAAAAGGACAACACAAATGCAAAAAAGTGTGCAACGGTCAATCTGGTATCACACTCTTTAACAATTTGTGAAGTCTATATAGATCCATGCGGCAAGAAGCCACTCAATCTGGATCTCGCTCACGAGAACATGTTCATATAACTTAAATACAAGATACATCAAGATACAAGTTAAAAACATGTTTTTTAGGTGTCCATGTTTGGCATATCAGTATACGCTACTAGGAACAAGTGCCTTACTAGTAGTAACAAGAAGCTATTAGAAACAAGTGCCACGCTAGTAGTAAAGGATGCTATAAGTTATAAGATAGTATGTTCGCCTCCATCTGACCTCGACTATCCACATTCAACAAGGTCTCCAGTTTCTCACACCCAGAAGGACCCGGTGAGGTGTCTCAAGTGGTGTGACTAAACGCCATTGACATTATGAAAGCTCGGTAAGTCTAGCTTGGCATTGCTTTTCATTATGTATCTAATATAGTTATTTGCAACAAACCAAACAGGAAGACTCATCTTAGCATGTCACTGGCTTCTTATCTTCGCCAGTCGCCACTGCCTCAAAATGCTGCACAAATTCTCTAATTAGCAATATACCAGCATATGTTCCCTTCTTCTCATCATATTACGTCTTTTGTATTTCTTTGTTGCTTCCTTCCTGTACTAACCTATTCTCACGTCCCGTTTGACCAATACGCCTTCCGTGCCACATGGCGAGGTGCTGCTGCTGCTGCTGCCTGATTCTGAGTTCACAAGAACGCCGATGTTCCGTTCCAAACCTGCTGTGTTTCCGGTAGGTTTCAACACTGTAGGCATGTCCTTCAGTCAAAAATATGTGTAGGTTTGATATCGACAAGACCCCGGCAGCAACACACAGGCCAGCTGCCAGCGGGAGGCCCCGGATACCTGGACACACCAATCAAAGCAGGACAATAGAGATCTCTGATACCTAAATTGAGTCTCAAATTTCAGCTTTCTTCAATCCTCCAAGCACCCCAAACATTTATAAGATCAGTGCCAACTCTATCATCAGCTTTTTGGCTTGACCTGCACAGCAAATTGTGAGCAGTTGTTGCTTTTCTCGATGAAACTGCGAGCCTGTGGCGCAGGTTTGTACCAACGCTGGTCTTCTCTGTTGATGGAGAAACGAATGCCTGGAGAAACGACATCGAATGAAAGCTCATCAGCTATAGTTATTCGGACGTGTGATTCCCACGATTTGCTTGGGTTACACCATGTTGCACCTCAAAATCTGAGTGGACCGGACGATGCAGAAGCAAATCAAGGATTACACCCAGCACGAAAACAGGTCCATCTCTCATACATGTGTAAACATAGTGACGTAGTGGGCCAACAAGTGCCTACAAAGAGCAACGCCCCCCTTTTGGTTGCATGCATCTTGGCGCTGGAATACCAACGAATTTCATTCATAGAATTACTTGGATCTATTCTCCCAATGTCTGTGTGGCTCTGCGGCTCTGCACCCACAGAATCGTCTAGAATCGGTACACTCAGTCGACAGTCCCAGCACTGCCTGAAAATTCGTGCATGCTGCCAGTGTAGCTGTTGCGGCAACAGCAGCTGTCGTTGAAACTTAGTTCAGGGCTGATAGGACAATTTGTTACTAGTCGTTTCTATACTAGTAGGCGTATCAGGTACCGTATCAGGTCGTTACAACATATGGCAACAACTTGCATCATTCTTTCACAGGGCCAAGCTACCACAGCGACGTGTCATCGGGAGGCCACTTAAAATGATCGCCCCACAACCTCAGACTCGTAACAAGAAGCTACTAGGGGCCCCTGGCATCGCTACTAGGAGCATTCTT